ATCAAAGGTTTGTCCAAGCGCCCTCCCAGGGAGCCGACTATCTCACCCAATGTACAGAAAGCCTGGCCCAGGAAGTCCTGCATGTAGGGCGAAAACAAACATGAATCCCGAGGCAGAGAGGAGCTTTAGTCATGATGCTCTTCATGAAAACAAATGTTTATTTCTCATGTGTCTCTTGCAGCTTCACCACACGTGAAGACTAAAGCCCAGAGTCCTAATGGGTCTCAGAATAATTTAAACATCCACATAATTCTAAAACAAGCTGCTGGAATTGATCAGTTACTTTGGTCATTTGAGGTTTGAGCAGTTTAAACCCTGAAAACCATAGCAAGGGTGAGAAGGATGACATGAGGGTAGGAGTGGGCGATATGGAAAAATAAATCACGATTACGATGTTATCACGATTTTTTCTATTTCGACAATTCAGCCGTTTTGGATGTTATTTACCAGTAAAATGCAAACATTTTAAAGTATGCCAATTCACAGAAAATAGGACAAAATATTTCAATATTCTAAAAAAAATCTTCGAATTCTAAGATCTATCTATCCATCTATCCATCCATCTATCTATCTATCTATCTATCTATCTATCTATCTATCTATCTATCTATCTATCTATCTATCTATCTATCTATCTATCTATCTATCTATCTATCTATCTATCTATCTATCTATCTATCTATCTATCTATCTATCTATCTATCATCCACCCAGACACTTTCATTTAATTATATATTCATAATTAATGTTAAATTATTTAATTATATCTAGTGGAGGCTCATATCATCCACAATATTATCAGAAATTATTTCTTGTCCAGAGAAAAAAATTCATGATGCGTCCTCCTCTCAGGATTACACCCCCTATAATTCTCTCTTTGTGCCTCACGGCTCTCTAACTGACTACGCAGGGGAGAGGTTTGGCATAAACAGGCCTCCGGTCGACAGCCACGGTAAAAAGGCTCACTAAAGCACCCACAAACGTCCCCTAATAATAAAAACCACAAAGCCCAAAGCAACGTTTAGTGCAGAACATTGATCCAGAGGTTCCCTGATCAAGCAGACGCATGAGAATACATGTAAGGCCCGCTTGGAGACAGAGCAAGCTAGTAGCTAACACTAGTGGCTAGCTGCTAAAAACAAGTGTGGTGTGCTTCTACAAAGATTCATAATCATTTATTTCTGCTTTAAATGTCAGTTATTAGATTATTTTCTACCGAGCACCCCCAGCTAAACAAACCAACACGCCGCCTTAAACTTGCTCTGGAAGTTCCACTATTGTTTCTCCAGCAGACATTTTATACTTAAAAAAAAAAGAAAAAAATACAAATATGTATTGAATTTCTCTGAACTAAGGCTGTTCAGGAACCTAAACGGTAAGACAGAATTTCCATCATTCTCCTCCTCCACAGTATTCTGCATTATTATTATTATTAATATTATTATTTAAAACTAAGTCCACATAGCAAAGGGAGGCACCACACCTGCACACTGGGCCTATTTCTTCTAGGAGCCCCTACACACAGGATGTAGACCATCCAGAACAGGGACAACTTTGGTCTTCTACAACGGTCATTTCTGTTTAGTGTAACTGGCTGCTTTATTAGTAATAATACCAGCCTATCTCAGTCCATGATCTGGCCTTTAGCCTAGGCTTCAGCCATCACTCCATCAGACATTGTCCGACAGCATCACACCAGGACAGAGTCAGGGGCACGGTGCCATCGTGGGATCATCATGAGAACTTGCTGCTGACGTATTTTGGGTGGTGAGAGTGCAGAAGGCAAGACTGGTGTGATGGAGGTCTGAACATATGAGGAAACCTCAACTTCAAAGATCCTAGCTTTCTTGTTCTGATTCATATTGTGTGTTTTGTCATTTAAAGTCTGTAGCCTTTTTCCCCTTTTTGTTTTATTGCAGTAGTCTTTCTGTTTGGATGTAGGGGCAAAAATATAAAGTTTGTCTATTTAGTGCTGCAGACTGAATGCTGCAACATGCTTCTGAGGTATTTTGGTGTTCCCTGTTGTTCTTGCTTAGGAGGAAACTCATGATGCTTTACAAGCAGACAGGAAAACAAGGACACACCACCCACAGAAATGCCCAGTATTTCAGGTACACTTGGTTTTACGTGTTCAGATGGCGGGAATGCACCAGAAAACAGAAAATACCATGAACATGTTGAGCTGAGTCCAAACTCTGGTTGAGTGTTGTCTCTTGTTGTGCTTCAGGGCTCTTTGTTGTCATGGGTACTTTTTTCTCCACATGTTGTTCAACTTGCTGCTTCTCATCACATTGTCTTTGTCACTCAGACCCAAATAAGGTGGAGGCGGCGATGTGAGCTTCAGCATGAGTGAACAAACAGCCATCATACAGACAAACCACACAGCAGGTGGAGGAGATGGGGGAACAAATAAAGCAGAGTTAGATCTGCCCCATTTCTGCACAGAACAGAACACAACGTCTGTTCTGGCAGCAACAACCCAACCAGATTTCCTGTATTATTGTTGCCATTCAACACTTCCTGTTTGACATCTAAGCCCAGCAGGCAAAAGGGAGACTCCAGAACTTTCCATTCTGAAAGTTTTAACCAGCAAGAAGAACACAGCATCGATAGATAGATAGATAGATAGATAGATAGATAGATAGATGGATGGATAGATAGATAGATAGATAGATAGATAGATAGATAGATAGATAGATAGATAGATAGATAGATAGATAGATAGATAGATAGATAGATAGATAGATAGATAGATAGATAGATAGATGGATGGATGGATGGATGGATGGATGGATGGATGGATGGATGGATGGATGGATGGATGGATGGATGGATGGATGGATGGATGGATAGGTGGGTGGGTGGATGGATGGATGGATGGATGGATGGATGGATGGATAGATAGATAGATAGATAGATAGATAGATAGATAGATAGATAGATAGATAGATAGATAGATAGATAGATAGATAGATAGATAGATAGATAGATAGGTGGATGGGTGGGTGGGTGGGTGGGTGGGTGGATGGATGGATGGATGGATGGATGGATGGATGGATGGATGGATGGATGGATGGATGGATGGATGGATGGATGGATGGATAGATAGATAGATAGATAGATAGATAGATAGATAGATAGATAGATAGATAGATAGATAGATAGATAGATAGATAGATAGATAGATAGATAGATAGATAGATAGATAGATAGATAGATAGATAGATAGATACTCTAATATTAGCCTGTATTTAATTAACTGCCGGTATCATATTTGGGCCGGTGTCGGAGTCGGCGGAGTTGAATAATGGCCGTTTTTTTTATCGTGGCCGTTATTATTGTGTTATTCCTGTCCATACATCCCTCACACTGTTTTGTTGGACTTTGACCTCTGGTTTCCTCCTGTATGTATGTAGCTCCTGTCATGGAGCTGGAAGGAAAACCAACTACTTTTTGGTGAGCTGAGTTAACCCGCGCTGTACCGAGCTGCTTTAGATTGAGCAGTGCTCTTGGAAAAGCCACAACTGGAAGCTCTAATCCTAGTTTACTTGTACGTTACAAAATCAAACTCTTGAATGAAATGTGTTCCACTCTGATTTCCAGATTCACTCTTTCATTTCTGTATTCTTTTGATTCGCTGTTGCAACACAAATAGTAAACAAATGCTGGCAGGAGTGAAGCCAATAGAGTAAACATGTAAAGTAAATAAAATTTTGAAAAAAAGACCAAAGGAAAAGATAACAATGCTGCAGCACAGCTTTACTGCGAACAATCAACGCTGCATATACATGCAGATCATGTCTTTATTGTGTCTGTCGGTCCAGACCAGTTCTGTAAGATGTGCAATCAGGTCTTCGCACAGTGGGTCATTCATTGATGGTGTTATGGGTCAGGTTGTAGCGATCACTTCTGGAAGGCGAGAGTCATATTCGGTCATAGCTCAGTTAAACTTTATATGCATTTAAAAACAATGTCTTTCTATTTAAAGCAACAGTTCTTTTTACCAGTACTGCATGTAAATGCACTGTATGTTTATTATGTCTTTCATCTTTATGGATCCTCTGGCATATAATCAAAGCTAAAGCTAGCATGACATAGGCTGCATACCTTGCTGTTGATGTGGATGGTCATTCTCTGATCAGCCTGCAATGCAGCTAAATGTGTATGAGGTAAAACCACACTCTGCAGTTACTTTGTCCATCTGATGATTGTTTCATGTGCAAACACAGCAAAATTACAGTGTTGTAGCTGCCTTAAGCTAGTGTGTCTGGCAAGTTAAGAAATTCAATCTGGGGTTTAGCAGAACAGCAGACAGGAAACATCTTGGCACGGTCTGATGGTTCTGCAATATCGTCTTCCAGTGGTGGCTGGCCAGTAGAGGGCGATAGGGCGCCGCCCTCCCAGTTTTCCCCAGTGTTTTTAATTTTTATTTAAAAAAATAAATAAATAAAATTAACAATAATCACATATTCTAAGTTAATTGTGTGTTTTGTAACAAAAACAAATCATATATTTATATATCTATATTGATGAGAAGCTCTCTGCCGAGCGGTGGAGGCGACAGAAAGGCTGTAGGCTGTTTTTGAATCGCCCAAACTGCACGGAACCCGCCGACCAATTGCTGACAAGAAAATCAAATGGTAGGAATGGGAATGTATCCAATTAGCGTCGACGTTGTTTCAGAAGCATGATGGGCGATAGAGCTGCCGCCAAAGGCTTTCGTTGGTTCGGTAGAACTCGGCAGAGTCGTTTTTGGTCGTGACGCAGATGTAACATGGACGCTGCCAGTGAGACACCGGATTTCAGCAGCCACTGAATTCAGTTCGGTCTCTTCTCCAGTATCCGTTCGAGAGGAGAACTATGGTGGAAAAACTTAATGTCAAAGAGCTTGGACCAGATCAGCCCGACGTAAAGATAAGCCAGCAGGACAAGGAGAAGGGTAAACTGTACACACGAGGCTTCTCCCAAAATTGGTACACCAGGAAGGCTTGGCTAGTTGGATGCAATCATGCTAATGCGTTATTTTGCTTTCCGTGTTTGTTTTTCAAAACGGCTGGGACAGATAAGGCATGGATGA